GGTGCGGGGGTGTTTGGTGGCTGCGAGGGGTAGAGGCGATGGGATGGCCCAGGGTTCGGTCCCTGGCGAGTGCATTGACGCGCGTCGCCAGGGACGTCGAAGGGTCTTTTCGCACCTTGGGGAGGATTGAAATGACACGCCAGGGTGGGCAAGGAGGTCGCACGTGCCACCGTCGACGACGTCGTTTCCCGCCACAGAGAAGCGACGTCGCGGGAGGTCCATCTGCGAGAGAGTACTTAAGTCCTGCGCATCCCAACCCGCATGTATGTTGTCCGCACGAAGGTGTCTCCAGTACAGAAGCCCGTCGCGCCTACTGCACACCAACCGCAACGACGTGGAAGTGGTACAAGCCTGCTCACCGCGGATAAATGTCGCCCGCTCCGCGCGGACATCTTCAGTTCCTTGGACGACCACCGCCGACGCCATTCTAGCCATCTCGTCTCGTGGACAATGTTCGATGGAGTCGTCGTCCTTCTGTCTGCCACGCCGACGTCGCCCGTCAATCATCTCGCCGCGCATCACTGTGAGCGTCGCTCTTCTATTCTTCTCGCCACCAGTCTTTTCGCCACGGAGTACTCTCGCCGGGGTCGTCGTCCTTCTGTCTACCACGTGCACGTCGTCGTCTTCTTCCCGCGAAGGACAGATCTTCTGCGTCACGAGGGTATCCGTCGTCGTCACGCCACAGCAGCACGGGAGACATATTTCTCGCCAGATCGGCGACACTTCAAATGGCGGTCGGCGAAGCACTTCCTGCTCATCCGATCACACCACCAAGCTCGCCTACAGAGGTCGCCACGAAGCATGTACACGCGAGGGAACACCCATGGGAAGAAGCGCGACGTAGTCCCTGGCGACAGCCAAGGGCAGGGAAGAGGTCGGCGGCATGCCCCGAAAGCGAAGAGGGTGCGTTCGGAAGATGCGTCAGCAAGGGTGCCTCGTCGTGGAGCGCAAGGTTGGGCGGCAGCAGCGGAAGGGGACTACGACGAAGAGTTCACAACGGAGGAGGAGCAGACAGAGGCGACCACGTCGGCAGTACGGGAGAGCGGTCGACAGCGCTCTTCTGATCAGAGCGTTTCGAAGAGGATGCTGACCCCTCCACCCGAGGCGCAGCAGCTGCGAAACGCGGAATGAGAAGGCTGCCGTCGTCAATCTTGGCGGCGAGGATGACGAGCCCTTGGATAGACGTTGCATGCGCACTCGTACAACGGCGACCACACCGACGGCACGCGCTGCTGTAAACGAAAGGCCAGTCTCGGGTAGGCTGCCTGCCACGCCGTCTCAGCCACGTCAGCGCAATGAGGGTGGTGACGGAGGGTCCGTCCAATACGGCGGCGAGGGGAAAGCCGTGGCAGACACGCGCGCAGTTGGGGTCGAAGCGGCAGGTGCTGCGGGGGCGGGTGGTTCAGGCACTGTGGCCCCCATTGCGACGGCGAGAGAGGAGGCAGCAGTTGTGGCGACGGCGAGAGAGGAGGCGCGTGGCGAGAAGAAAGGCGATCGAGAGGGCGGCGAGCCCGGTTCAAGCCGGGTACGTAGGGGAGTGATGACAAAAGACCTCATCGATCGTGTCGTCCTTTGGGTTGATGACAAAGCTTTCTGGACGACGGGGGAGGGGCGAAGACTGTACAACATTGTCCACGATACGAGAGAGTACTTCGTCGCCATCGCCAACGGATTTCCACCGTCCCTCGAAGCGTCGTACTGCCCAAATCCAGCACACGCGTAGGCAGGATCGTCGACCAATCACAGCTACAGCAAGCGATCTCCCGTGCGGCGGCAGTGGAGAACGTTGCTCTGCGCATCTTGCACGGCTGGGTATTCAAGTCCGGGAACTGCCCAAGGGGATACAATGTGGCTTTCCAGTACTCGCTGGAATCCTTTGCTACGGACATTGCGCGTGCTATGTGGTACGGCGAGGAGTGGTGCAACGTCGTCAGTCCGACGGTTTGCGCGCACACGATAGATCTGTCCATGGACTTGCCACTGTGGTTCGTCGGCGACAGACCGGACGACAACGAAATGACGGCGCACCAGAGTCCACCGTCGTCTGCGTCGCGCATGCATTCCGCATGGCGGTGCAAATGGGGGCGCTCATCGACGGCGAGTTCATCTCGCACGTTCGTCTTTGTCGGGTGGGTGATTGCTTCAGGTTGTTGTTGGCGGCGTGCATGTGGATAATGCGCATGGCGGGGGACGATCCGTGCAGCCACTACGAGGCTTTCTACTTCGCGAACCTCGTGGCGAAGCCCACACTCGTCGCGTCCATGCATCGCTCCTTCGATCATCGACAATTCGTCGTCCACGCCGCGAAAGTCGTCACAGAGAGGCTCAGGAAGGCGAACACTACGTTCGGACAGTACCCCGACTACATCCCTCAATGGGCACCCTGCGGCATTGGTTTCAGGCACGACGCGAGCATAACGGGGCCGGAGGATGCGAAGATGCTAGATTGGTTGGGTTCGGGCCCCCCCGATGATGACAACAACAACGAGGAGAAAGATGACGCGTAGGGGGGGGGGGGGGGGGGGGGGGGGGGGCGCTGCTTGTGTGGCCGCGGGCGCATGTACATGTGGCTGGTCGTGATGGGCTTCACTGTGGTTGCACCGTCGCAAAGTGCGCACCTGTTTAGTGTGTCCGTGAGAGGGATTCAGAAGAATCGTCGTCGGTTGCGCACATGTTTCGCGTCGGCTGTGCCACGAAGACGGGTTGATTGATTTCAATGGTGTATGTTGCGTTTAGTGTAGGTGTTTAGTGTGTCGCTCGTTGGAGTCGACGGGAGATCAATGAATGTCGTCCTGTATTCTGTTTTTATAATCGCAGTTCATTGCGCAAGAAGTTCATAGCGCTTTTAGCGCACCTTTTTTTTAATGTGATGTGTCCGCTGTTCTCGTTTCGTCTGTGGAATGATTTAAAGATGATTGCAGATGATTGCCTCCTATGCATGCACACAATCTATGTTCATCTCTCTCTGTTTTTATGTTTCGTCGTTAAGTAACGTTAAGCAACTTGCATCAACAATTTGAACACCCATGTTTGACGTCCCGCCAGAGAACCACACGAAAACATTCGTGACAAACGAACTGAAGAGAAAAAAAAAAAAAGGAAATGAAGAGATACACATAAAAAGAATAAACTTCCCACCACACCAAACCATTCGAGACAGACGATTTGAAGACACACATAAAAAAATAAAAAAATTTGAGAGAGACACAAAAAAAAGGTTCTTCCAATATTAAACGTTCGTACAACTGTAGGAACCACGCAACCGTCCACACGATGAAAACAAGAAAGGAAGTCACAGACAACAACCATGCCGCCATACAATCGACCCAACAACTTCACGCACGACGCCATGTGTCAATTCCACCACCACCTGCGCCTGCACGGAGAACTTTTGTTTGCGGTCATAGTAGTTGTTTGAAGGTGCGCCGGCGGGCTTGTCAATGTAGATGTGTGTACAGTCGATCGCGCCGAAGCAGTTCGAGAAACCCTTGTCACGGAATGCGCGCAGAATCTGCGCACGTCTACAGCCAACTGGCCACTTGATCGCGTCGGGGTACGCCTGCAGCAGCGCCGAAGTGACGTCACGGACGGCCTGCAGTCCAGTTGCCCTGCTGATTCCGAAGGCTGACGTGCCGCTCTCGTACGTCTCTCCTGACGCCCACCTGTACAACGAGAAAGCGATCACCTGCTCCACTGGCAATGACATCCTATAGTGCGTCACCTTTTTCTCCACGTACGCGGCGCACGCGGCTACGATCTGCCTGAACATGGTCATCGACATGCGCAACTTCTGGCGGTAGTACTCGTCTGTCGCGTCATCACAGAGGCGGAGATCATCCCATGTTCCGCCAGTCCGTCGTTTAATCCACCAACGCAGGGTCTGCCGCGGGAAAACGCTAGATGACAGCGCGGCACACAACTGGACGACTGCCTCATACATGGCCACGCAATCCGACGCTTCGGCAATGCGATGCAACAACGCTCTTCGTTTACGGAGCTGCGTCAACATGTCGCGCGAGGACGACGACATGTCGCTCATCGTGTTCAGGATATCGTGTTCACGATGACGACAGTAACCGCCATCGCCATCGCGTCGATCTCCTCTTCGTGCAGACCGTGCCCGCTGCCGCGAACGTCCATCTTTGGGAATCGTTCCGCCCCCACAGCGTGACGCCTGCCACAGTCGCCAAAAACACGCCCGCTGCTCAACCCTGCCGCAGGAGACCACGCACGCCGGACCCATAGATGCGCCCGCTGCCGTACTCTGCCACAGGAGATGGCGTACGCCGGAGCCGACGACGCACCCGTTGCTCTACGCTTCCGCAGGACAGCATGCACAACGGAGGTGAAGATGCGCCTTGCAGGAAAATGCCCCCGCTGGTCACAACTTGCGTGGAGTCGGAAGATGGATACCCATGCCGAACGGTTCGCCAGCGCCGTCTTTTGTACGTCACACGCGTCGCCTGGCCGTCCTCCGCCCCGCCGCCCTGCGTCTGCGAGAATTCGAATTTGAATTTTTGAAGCTCGGGGTGACCGTGCTTTTCACCCACCCCTCCTCACCCGTCCAAGGCCTTCGCAGTGTGTACTACGGACACCAGCCAGGACCCGACAGACATCGGCGACGCGACTACTTATACGAATATGAAAACAAGCCGCGGGACACCTTTTAGGACGAATCCTAAAAGATGATTTTTAGGACTGCGTGTAACGACGCCTCACGAAATCCTAAAAAAACTTTAGGACTCGTCCTAAAAATTTAAAAAAAAATTTAGGAGTGTCTAACGAGACCCTTACACTAGTCCAAATCAGAAGTAATGAGCATGAGATCATTCATAGAAGAATCGGAGCATCTCCTACTAGTGTGTGAGTGAGATGCAAGAGTTACACTAGGCTATATCACAAGATTTGAGCAAGAGATCATCCATGGAAGAATCGGAGGATCTCCTACTAGCATGTGAGTGAAAAGCAA